AACGGCTTACAAGCGGAATTGCGCGTGTACATAGCGTTGCCTGGAGCGTCGTAGGGCGATTTCCTATGCTCTTGCCGGGAACTGGTTGCTCCTAGAACCTGCTGATTGGCTTGTCCTCATGACGAACTCGTCAAAGGCGCCGGCCCCAGTGTTAAGGGGGTGGGGGTCTGTGTCAGGGTCTTCCCAAACTTTTTTTGCTTCTTCTCTTCTGGTGAGATTTTAATGGGATACTGGTTCATGACTGAACGCCTGCTACCTATTACACTTGATCGCGGGAATTGGCTTTAACTCACCTACATGGATTTCATCTACAACAGCTATGGTTGAAAACGTGAATGCCTCAACGAAACGTTATGATTATCTAAGATGTTGTAATATGAGTATATGAGTAACCAGTTGCTCTATTCCCGGCAGTTTTGTACATAACAGATCTCAGTGAATCGAAGCGGCGTAGCATCAGTTCCTACTGGCGCTCTTTTGCATTACCTTTGAATTAATGTCACTAACGCAGTTCATAAAAATAGCTACACTACCAGTTATTTTCTTATGTTCATGACGTCACTGCAAACAACCACCGTCCATTGTACAATTGTTATTTTGAACCGGACACCTTTCAAACCAAATCGGACACTTTTCAAACCAAATCGGACACTTTTCAAATCAAATCGGACACACCCCTTACATTGGGCAGTTGATTAACTAGACCACACTAGGCACTGGTGCAAGCCCCACCATAACATACCGCCGACTTCTCGGCGTGGTCACGGTTTTAAAATGTTTTATGAATTCTGCTCCTTTGCTTTTTTGCAGTTTCGCACACGCATACTCTAATGAAAGGAATTGGTACCGACACAGTTGCCACTCCGCCCACTTTTCAATGGAGCTGGAGCAGACTCTAAATTTTTGTAACCTTTTCCGACGTCTTTTTTCACAATCCTTCGTCGCAAAACGAATATATTCGTCAATACAGTTATGCATTAGCACACTAAGCCACGCCCTTAGGTCACGATCACTTTTGCGTCTTTCGTCTTTTTGTGGGAATTTTGATACTTTTTCCAAAATTTTCTCCTTTTTAGGCTATCACAGGTAGCACTGATAGAGGTCCCGCTAACTTCATAGAAGCTCCACTTACTTTTAAAAAATGACCCAGATTAGCAGGGTAGAGCCCGAACTTTCAGGTATTGGTCTCCCCTTCACCTGGAACGAAATACAGTACGAATAGTACAACAAGAAGTACAGGTCAAATACAATACAGTTTATTCCAAGTCTCGAGCGAGGCCATGACCTGACAGTTCAGACTCCCATTAGTGAAGCTCCTGTGAAGTGGGTAGGACTTCTATTAGTAGGTGGAGCTGCGTGTCACAACCTAAAAAGGCCGAAACTTTAGAGAAAACATTAAAATTCCGCAAAGAAAAACGCAAAGTGGGCGTGGTCGTAGGGCGGGGCTCACCATTAGTCTGCTAATGTATGAGTCTGTAAACAAGTACATTTTTTGTGAAGAAGGCATGAGGAAAAACATGAAGTCGAAAAAAGTTACAAAGCTTCAGAGTTCGCTATAAGTTCATTGAAAAGTAAGCGGAATCGTCATTGTGTCGGTACCTATCCTTTTCAGGTAGAGTGTGCGGCGGCGAAATTGCAAATGTCAAAGGAACAGAATTCATAGGACATTTTGGAAAAGCGTGACCGCACCGAGTAGGCGGGGGGGGGCTATGGTGGGGCTTGCAGCAGTGCCTAGTGTGGTCTAGTTAATCAACTGCACAATGTTGGGTATGTGTCCGATTTGATTTCATCCAAGGGTAGGGCTTATTTGCTATGGATACCAAGTGTAGTTACCATTAACTGCTTCTGCTGATTTCTCCTACTACGATTATACTCTTGTGCTGAATGGAGGCGACAAAGACTAGGAAGTATCCGAAGTAGCGCCACTCGTAGAAGTTGCTTGACCTACCTGAGTATGTTAGACGCTAGGGGTCCCGCATGGTGAGTTCTGACGCGTTGCGTTCATTCCCTGTGGGACCTCACTCGCATTCCAGTGTGTCTATCTGCTCTCATTCTTTTCCTCTGATCACCTCTACTGCAGCACTGCCTTTGAACAGTCGGACGATCGAGGTGTTACTAACAATAAGATCGTCTTCGACGGCGCCCTCCCACTTTTATTTCCTGTTTAGCCAATTAGTACTTATTAGGCTGTATTTGGTCCCTATATCCCAAAAATTCTAGATGCGGACAATGTCTCTAGAATTTTCACCTCGGGAGTTTCTGTCTGTGTTTTCTAAGGGCATCATCAGTACGAAGGCTGCTCCATTCAGACTCATCTTGAACCTTGCTGAGTACTGATTGATAATATTAGTACGGGCTAATATGCGCGGAAGTCCTGCCACCTAAGAACATTTATTCGTCGGAATGAGGTTTTATCGAAGTTCTTGACACCTTCAACGCCTTGTTCCATCTTCGAAGAAAACTCCTCCGTCGATGGCGCAATACTTTGGACATACTCCACGCTCGCCAGGTTCACCAGGGGTACCAGCCTGACCAGGAACTCCTGGGATTCCGTCAGCGCCCTTTTCACCATTCAATCCTGGAGGCCCTTTCGGTCCTTGTGGCCCTGCAAATAAAGAGTGAGCCCAAAAATTGGATGAAGTACATTAAACGCAAAAAAACACCTGATTATAGAAACAACAGACCTGGTACACCAGCAGCTCCGGGCTGGCCCGTTGCTCCTGGTGGTCCTTGGGGTCCAGGTGGCCCTGGTGGACCAGGTGGTCCCGGACGAATAGTCTCCTTAACACCATTTTCACCAGGCTTTCCAGGTGCTCCAGATACTCCTGGCTTTCCGTTCTGGCCCTGTGGTCCTCGAGGTCCTTGTTCTCCAGGTGGCCCATCCGGACCAACAGGTCCAGGAGGACCCATGTGGCCTGGGTCTCCTTGTGGCCCCGGGGGTCCCGGTGGTCCAGGAGGTCCACGAGGGCATGGCTTGCATGGTGGAGGTGTAATCGGCTCGCAGGGCTGCTGTGGGGGACGCCCAGGATTTCCTGGAGCACCGGGAGCACCAGGTTTTCCTGGTCGTCCTGGATGTCCTACTGGACCTGGTGGACCAGGAGGACCAGGTAAACAACAATTGTCGCAGCCTCCCGAAATGCCACCTCCACTCGAGATAGCAATGTCATCGTAACCCATTTGACGAGCAGTACGGTTGCGAGCAGTTACAGACTTTATGTTGTTCACTTGGCCCCATAATGACCTTGCTGTTCCCTAAACGACGATAGCTAGTTGTTAGGGGATCTCATAGTCAATAAGTTTTGGGATTCCCACGTACCGTACATTCATTCAGATCTCCACGCATGCTTCTTCTCACATGGTGCACGTAGTTATAGACCATCGGCAGGGATATACATATGGAAAACACAGCGATCGCTGAGAAGGTGACTGCCGCATAGGCCACGAAGCGATAAGCCCGAATTCGGCAGTCGAGTTCCATCGCTGCTCGGCAGCACGGTGCGGACAGATTGGGGGCCAGTGCTGATCTCTTAAATAGTGACGTAGTGCAGAGTACATAACTGCGGTAGTCGGCATGTATGTTTCTCTTTCAAACTTTCAATATTTCGCCTATTTTGACCGCGCCAACAACGGAAAACGTCGGAAAGTGTTCGCGGGCCAGGGTAGAGTCACGTCCTTCAACTCGAATCAGAATGCGAGTAAAACCCATCCGTCAAAGGGAAAAAACATGGACGCGCAATGTTTTTTCTTTTGAAAAACGTCGCGATTTAAGTTGAAAAAGCCATGCATCGCGGCCTCCTTGAAACAGGTTGCGCTGTCCCACGCGGTTGTTGAAACATTGCTGGCTTGACCATATATTCGCTTCGTTTCTGAACGGAAGAAAATTCGTGCCGCATCCGAAAAAAGGACCTGCAACTGCAAAGACTTCACACTGCTAAATTTTCTAAATAGGACAGAATGTGATCATCCAGAGACAGCGGTTACCATGCACAAAATAACTCTAAAACTTGAATTTCCTGAGATAACATGACCTAGTCATCTTGGCTGGGAGGTGCTGTAGAGGCAAGTTGCTCGCTTAGCAAGTGCGCCCACGGAGTGTCCCGATCAGACCAACCAAGCCTTTTATCTCTGTGGAGGTAGATTGGCACCAGTTTCCGTCTGGAGGGATAAAGAACGCTGTATTGGACATCGGATGGCCAAGTGATTGTACTGACCGTACAGCACTCAATAAGCCACCACGTTTCTGAACGGAAGAAAATTTGTGCCGCATCCAAAAAAAGGAGCTGACACTGCAAAGAACTTGCCAATTTTAGACAGGAAAGGACAAATGTGATCAAAGGTTCACACTGGAATAAACTGTTGCCAAGAATCACACTACCACATAAAGTTCAGGCTGCTCATTATTATTATTATTATTATTATTATTATTATTATTATTATTATTATTATTATTATTATTATTATTATTATTATTATTATTATTATTATTATTATTATT